TGTTATTTTGTCAAAACATGTCAAAATACTTACCAGTATAACCTCTAGTGCAGGTAAAATGCCCATGTTTGATAAAGTCTTGAAAAAGGCGTCTCTGTTTTGAGGTTGCAATGTTTGTGAAAATGCGCAGAACTCCTTTAAAAAGTTGACCTGGAAGAAACATAAAAACATAGCTGCTTGAACCATTGAAAATAATAGCAAATCTGTCTGATTCTTATTAAAAGCCAGCAGAAAATTCACAAATGAATTCGTTGCATACCAGTTCTTGTCTTTTGTCATCATCAGTAGCCTCATCTGTTAGCTGTGCAAAGAGGTCAGTCAGGAACTTTTCATCATCCTGACATTGAAAGTGCAGAGGTTATAAAGCGTCAAAAGTCAACTGATATTATGATCAGACAATTACAATAATTCCAAAATACAATTGTGTGGCGATTATCCAACACACAACAGGTAATTAATTAAGATAGTTTGGTATCACGAAAATGAGTAAAACACAAAGTATGAAGGAAACTAGAGTTGGTTATTAAAACAAATGTTCACATTTCCCTTTGTGAAAAGTTGCATTTGATTCAAGTTGATCCGCTTACAGTTATTGCCAGAAACGGAGACACTAAGGAGTTTCTTCAAGCTAATTAGATGTGTAAAACACCGGACTTCATGATTTATCTTTAGGTGTGAATCCGAGTCAACTTTGTGAGAGTTTTTGTCTCCGAGTGCTTTTAGAGCAGCCATACTGATTTACACAACACTTCTGCATCGCTATGGAGACGGCAATACATAAACACTATTGAGTTGACATGGAACAAAAACACAAAGGTCATATGACTATAAACACTTATACAACCTCAAAGTGAGCAAAGTTGGACAATTTGAAGCTAATTTTGAGCAAATCTTACAAGATTTATTTATGCATGAGAGCAGTTGTTTCTCACCTGTAGCATGCCCACTATCTCCACCTTATTGAAGAAGATGAAGGAGTGCAGAGTGGACAGCATGTTTTCCTCAAATACAGAGGGTGTGGGCAGCACCATATCCTGAATATACTGCACACGATATGTCTGGTGTATTTTCTGACGCAGCTCAGGATCAGAGATGGGAATAACCTCCTTAAAGCGCGCCGTCTTAGTCAGAAACTCTCGATGCCGTCGTGGTTGTGGTAGTGCTGGATCGAATTCCAGACAGCCGATGATGTCCATGATGCACTCGTCAGAGAACATCACCTCAAAGAGCGCAGTGCGGTTCAGCAAGAAGATGCCTTTAATTATTTCATATAGATGGTGTAGTCCTTCTCTGTTTTCCAAGTCCTCACACACACGAAACAGTTCTAGAAGTTTGCGAATATAGCCTTCATTCTCCACTGCCAATGCCAGTTTCTCACGCCGCAGTGGTGATGGAAGCGAAGAAGCCACCAGCTCAGCGAGGTCCTCCAGGCGGTTTAATTCACATGGCGGTAACTCCAAACCTGGGGAAGACATGTCATCAAAGCGCTCCTCCTCAGACTCATCCACAACCTCCTGCGTAATATCCACTGAAGGGTCCTTTCCTTGTACCTAAAAGGAGACAAATAAACAGATAAAATACCTAAATCAATAGCATATTACTCTAATTTCTAGAGAGGTAATAAACAGGTTTTTATGTCCAGATTCATTTAAGTTGCATTTTGTCTAGGGATTATAAACTAATAAAAAGAAAAATACTCAACAGAATATGAAGTAAAAGAGATTGTGACCTTTTATATTTCTATTAATCTAAACAAAGGGGCATTAAATTAAGTGCCATTTATTATTAATCTATTCTTTCAGAAAAATTAAAGCTACAAGACAATAAAAAAAATTGCGTGGAGTCAAAGGCTACGTTCACACTGCATTCCGATTTTTTCGTGAAATTCATTTTTTTGTTACGTTGCCGTTCACATTTCCAAATATATGCAACTTGTATGAAGTGACTTGACCTGTGTGAACTGCAGTCATACAGCTTAAATGTCCCGCATGTGCAGTAGAGGCGCAATGACGTCACAAGCCAGCGTGCTCTGTTTATGGAAGTAAACATGGATGTAGTGCTAGAGCGCATCTAGCAGTCTTTCCAAACCTTAAAACCTCAATCTTTTAAAGATGTTAAAAAAATATTGCTCTTCACATTATCATCCGTCATGGTTGTTGTTTTCTTGCCGCTTCTGTGTAGCAGGAAGCAGAATAGTGACCTTTGTCGGGTATTAATAGCGTTCAGGTCGGATGAATGCAACCTGGCCGTTCAGACACAGGTCGCATTTGAAAAGATCAGATTCGTATCGGATCCAGGACCACATAGCCAAGTGACCCCTGGTCGGATTGGAAAAAAATTAGATCCGTGTCGTTCAGACTGCCATGAAAAGATCAAATACAGGTTGCATATGGGCAAAAAAAAATCAGATTTGGGTCACTTCAGGCTACAGTGTGAATGTAGCCAAAAATGCTGATAAAAACTGCTGTAACAATAAATGTGTGCCAATTTTTTAGTTTGTGCCTTATACATTGTTATCTTTAGTAATTTAGGCAATTTTATTTGTGTCAATTGTATCTGCTGTGAGAGACTGGTCAACTGGCTAAATTTTGTATTAACAAGTACAATGCATGTTGATGACAAAATATCAATGAAAACAGATCAAATAAAATTTTTATCTGAATGATTAGTGAAAAATCTACTAAAATTAAGGATATAGAAAAATATATATATTTACCTGACATATTTTCTCCCAGATTTCATCACAGCCAGCTTTCTCCTGAAAGCTGAGTGCCAGGTCATAATTCTCAGCCTCTGACCAGACTATCAATGTGTCCTTATCAAAATAAAAACACACAGTTAACAAAACAAGACTACATAGAGAGTAACGTTCTTTTTTTCCAAATGAGTGCTGCACCATGCACTGACCTGCTGTTTCTGGTAGGCTGTATTAGGGTTGATTTTGGACTCCAATAGTAGCGAGCCTGCCAGATAAAACAAAGATAAACCATAAGTGGTGAAAATGTGCAACAGAACAAAAAATCAAATAAAATAAAAAGGCTCCTTTCAAAATGTTGCAACTAAAAACAAACTGTAAAGTAACATATACAGTATATAGCAATAACAAACATGCACAAAGTACATTTATATATCAAACTATGAAAAAAAGAAACAAAAGTTAAGAAATCTAAAGAGAAGTACAGTATTTACTGTGTAGCTACAAGTGTTTGTCCAGAATCAACAACAAACTGGGGGGTTTATCCTCCACTTACCATCACTTTCTGCTCGAACTAGGAGAGAAGTGCCTTTTAAACGCTCCACATAACAGGAGGAGACGTGCCCGGTCCCACGGTCATCCCACTGCCTGTCCTCATTGAGGGTATACACTTTGACTCTCCTACGAGTGTCCGTCATCCTGGCAGGTGATTGTGACCGCTTTTCCCTTTCCCGAACTTCTCTGGATCTTGCAGGGGGTGGCTTCACCTAGTAACACAACTTCAGTTTTACCTATGTCGCCTCTCCACCTCTGAACTATTAAAATCTTATAAAAAGGGGTCGATCTTTGCTTAGAATATCTTAGAAGAGAGTAACTCTAAACAATCATAGGGTGAACCCAATGGATCCAGCATTTAGTTTAATCAAGTTGTTTCTTTCCTATTTCTAGTTTTGCCTAACTGCTTCAAAACTTATTTCAACAGGGATACAGGCAGAGCACCAGGCAGAAACAGCACAGAAACCATTGTGGCAAAGGTAACGACAGTATAATTAACTGAGCGAAGGACACTCACGCTTTCTTCTGTTACGGACAGGACAAAAAATTACGGAACGTAACAGCAAAGTCTACGCCAAAAGCGGAGGCCGCCGTGTTCAAAATAAATCTTTCCACATAAAACACATCGCTTTTCTTTCTGTACAGTTTGTACGCTCACAGGTAATGTTAGCTAACGAGCTATCTAAAACGTTCGCTGCTAACGCTTTTACATCTACGCTATAAAGCAAATGTCTGAAGCAATTCCATCGCTGAAGAGCACCGATAACATTATGTTATACTCGCGGACAATAAGGACTTCTTAAATTCAAGAATAGCGTCTCCCCTCTTCTTTAAATATTACGCCAGCTAACTAGCATTAGCTGGTGTCTCTTCCCCAAGTATTCCGCCATGTTCTGGCTCGGGGCCGCGGAGAGACCGCTTTTTCATTTCTAAAATTCAGACATCCCCCAAAAAAATTGCAGACTAAAAAAGTTGAGCAGAATAATTAATCCAAGATAGCGATTTACATTATACTGTTATTTGCCATTCATTTCAGACGTCTTGCACAGCTAATTGCTAAGTGCCCCCCTTGAGTTTTCAGCCATCTTGGGTCCCTTCACAAGCAACACGGGGTTTCCGACACTGCAAACACAGGGCAGCCCGCCACATTTAAAGAGACAGTAGCAAGAAAAAAAAAAAAGAAAAAAAAGTAGGGCCATCAAAAAACACAAATTTGTTTCGAACCACAATTTTATTTGCAATGACTTACAAAAAAAAGAAATTCGCAATCTTTTAATCTAAATGCAAAAACTAACATTTTCCAAACAACAGACAACAGTATTAACTTAGACTTATTTTAACTCAAAATGACAAAATTTGCCAAAAGATTTGTGGAACAGTAACCATTTTGTATTCATTAACGGACAGCAGTAAGTAAACAAAAGTTTTTGGGGTTTTTTTTTTTTTAAACACAAAAAAAAAACCCAACAAGAGTCCAAAAGGTTTGACATATAAGTCACAAAAACAATTTCCAAACATAATGACATGTTTTATGGAAAAGAAAGGAAAAATTGAAATGACAAAGAATTATCTTCTGAAAGTTTCACTTCACAATAATTCAAACAAAATCAGCTGCGGTTAAACAAACAGGAAATCCAGAAAACAACTCAACCATGGTAAAACATTTCTTAAAAGAAAAAACTACAAAGATCTGTGCAGCCATTACCCCAATTCTCAATGTGTAACAAACACATCGGAAATGCATTTAATAAGAAAATGTATATTTCAGGCCAAAAAAAAAAAGAAGCCACAGTTATTTTCATCCTGCCACATTTTCTAATGTATAAACAATTTAATAAGAAACTCTTCCCTTGCACACAGTTTTAAATCCTTTCAGGCGCACGTAGAGGGTCACTATGGCAAACATGCATTTACTTTGCTGCTTGCTGAGCTTGACGCCGCAACAGGACATATATCTTTTCTTTAATCCAGTCTTTGTTGTAAGGTTGGTATGTCTGTGTGTCAGCTCTGTACCTGCATACAAAATAAAAATAAAAATTTGAAAGAACAGTCAATATCTCTTAGGATATTCAGTCTGTTTCAATATTAAGCTACCCTTACACAAGACAGCTCAGATCTGCCAGGTCATCAATGAAGTCAAACAGCTGACTTATGTCATAAGTAATGGACGGACAGTTTGGATTCATCCTCTTCAGATGCTCTTCATACATTTTGCAAACACCTGGAAAACAACAGATTTCTTTTATTTAGGGCGTTTCAGAGATAACGTCACAAAATGATGTAGAAAGGAATCACGATAAGATAGAAGTAACAATAAAACCAGGATAATTAAAAGAGAGAAATTACACCATAACCCCAAGAGATAAAACATACAACCATAACATGAAAGCCTGGTAGAATCTAAAAATTTTTTGTAAAAAAACAAACAAAAAAAAACAATGACATTGAAAATGTGTTAAAATACAAAAAGGATGAAATACAATGGATGTATTCCCTAGAACTAGAAAAAACATTTTAATAATGCTAGGTACCAACGTAACAGAAATCAAACTTCATTATGGCCTTAAAGAGGATATTTTTATACTATTTATATAGAGATTCAACAACACACACGACTTAAAACAAATCTTCAGCGAATTGATTTAAACAACAAATTGATAAACAAAATGTTAAGTTACTCAAAGTTGACACCAGGAAAGTCTGATTAAAAAATGTGCTAAGAATAGCCTCTCAAATGGGGCTAAATCAATGCCTCCAATTACTTCAAGGTGTAATTAATAAGGGGGATTTAGGTTTTACAGAAAACCCCCAGTTCTTATAAGGTTGTAAGCTGCTTAAATGTTTTGCTTTTAAATTTAACAAAACAAAAAAAGCCAACATAGCATAAGCTGATAAATCGCTGACCATGCAAAAAAATATTCTCATTAAATGAGATTAGCCACACTTGTCAAAATTTTACACAAAGGGAAAAAAATATTTAGTCAATAATATATTAATAGTAATTTTTCAGTATTCTCTAAAACCATCTTTAACCATTATTAATAAAGGCATTGTCATCGGGATCCAAGATCTCATTTTGAACAGACGTGTACTAACAATACAAGCGTTCAAAAAAAAAATTGTCTCCATTACATGAGCTAATAAAATATGACTTAAATATAAGCGCTAGTTATAGGGGTCTGTTTTTTTTTTTTTTTGTTGTTGTTTTTAGCAAAACAGCTGCCATTCAGAAGCAAAAGGGAACTTTGGAAAAAATGTTAAAATATTTTATACTCATGAAGAATGTTCAAATATTCCTTAACTTTGTAATACTTTTAAGTTATCTGCCATCGGGATAAGGAGGAGGGAAAATATGCATTCAATGACACCGATTTAAATTGTTATGGTTAAGTCAAGGATCTTTAATATGTCTTTAAAGCAGAAGATGGAAAAAAAATATGGACTGATTAAAGTTTCATGTCAGTTCAACTTTTCAACTAGAATCCATCTGGGGAGATGCTGCCATTTTTTTTGTCTATTGAACAACTAGTACAAGTAAAAGACTTGTTTAATTTCAGAACGCAAGTTTCTGATCGTTCCCTTCTAAATATAAAAAGATTAGAAATATGCTACCTAGATTTACCAAATTTCATGCAAATATTTCCAAAAATGTCCCTGAAAATTTGCTATATTCTCCATCAAAACTCTTCATTGGTTATGGTAGGTTGATACCATGCAAAAATTATTTAAGCATGATTTATAATTATAATTTGGTCTCAAAGCATTAACTACTGCTCAAAAATTCCCCCCATTCCTAAAAAAATGCACAGAATTGTCAGAAATAAGTGGTTTGTTTAGATTTGTTTATAAAAGTATGCTCCGTTCATCAAGTTATAATAAATAGTCTGATCAAGTTACTATTTTTGTTTTAATGTTTAGCCTTTTTTCATACCTTCATTCTTTTGAAGCTTGAATAGTGAGCACATATAATCTTATTACCTTACATAGATTTAGCCTTAATCTAAAAAGACAGGCAAAAACACACATACCTTCCATGCATTCATTAACTGACTCGTAGTCTGCATACGTGCGGCCCTCTGGTCTCTTGGTCGGTTGGACAAGCAAAATTGTGTGCGACTGAAAAGTACAGTTTTAAATTTAACAAACAAATAAAGCAATATCCCACCCGCTTAATATTCGAAATAAATTTTATTTCTCACAATTTCTAGGACCCAAACAATATTTAAAAGGTTTCTTCACTTTCATCTTAAAGAATCATAAAGAGTGAAGACTTCAAATAATGACAAAACGCCAACGGCAGACTGGAAACATGTAGTATATAGCAACTATACTTCAGATGATAATCCAAAAGATGCACGAGGGAATAATTCGAATCAAATATTAGGTCAGTTTTAACAAACTAAGTCTTGCAACACCGCAGAAGTACAAATTAAAGCTTTAATTCAGTGACAACTGTTAATCCTTGTAGCTTGCTAGCCTAGCAATAACAAAATTACTAGTTATGTCGCCTAAAATTAGTAATTCCCTTGTTTTAAATCTCTGCTAAAACAACACATACCATATTTGCAATCACTACAGGCCTACAGGGTTCACGGTGAAAGCAACAAGGAAAAAAATAATCTTTTTAAACTACTTTTAAATCAAACGATCAAGGCAGGGATTCTAGAAAAAAAACACAGGAACTGACGTAAAAATCCTTCCGGTTGGAGCATCCATTCAAAATAAAAGTTTTGCTTTCAAAATAAAAATAAAAAATTAAATAAAATGAACTAGGATATTACTAGTTTTTGCAGCAGCTGTAAAATATTTAAGCTAAATCAACTCTTATACAAAGAATAATTTTTTATATTTCCTATAGAGTGGGGAACTATAGCAAGTAGCATGCAACGCATATGGGAGCATTATGGTCTATGCCCTAAAGTTGAAAAGGTTTCGATATTCAACACTTTTCTTCAAAGTAGTGTATTGCTAAAATTATTGCTGAACGGTGAAGTTCTCACTTTACTCTTTTCAAGGTGTTAAATCTTGGTGTAATATTTGATGACAGCATAAGCGTCGTTAGACCTATTTAAGGGTGGCTTCAGCCACCCTTTCTTTGGCATTAGCCACCCTATAATTATTTTGCG